CCTTCCTTCTTTGCTCGACATGGTCTTCCTTGGAGAAGTGGCTGTCAAGGTCAATGGTGTTGACCCTCAGCAACGGCTTGACTTCCTCGGAGCTGGAGGGCAGTGCGACTCCGATGGTCGTTCGAGGTTGAACATTGATGGAACTAAAGCCCTTGGTTGAAGCTTCAAAACACCTTCTTGCTGCTTGGATGTCCCCGTGAAGGGTGGCGACTAAACCTTCTGCGGTGTAGTACTTCATTTTGAGATGAACGATGAAGGGAACCGTGATGAGTTCGGCGAGAGTGGGTCTCCCGAAGATGCACTGATAGAGAGACAGGAAATCCACCATCAAGAACTGGGTTTTGATGGCTTTGGCCGTTACCCCCTCTCGAAGGTGATGATCAGCTTGACATATCCCCAGGGTTTCGTGCTGGCCCTGTTGAAGCCCTAGAGATTTGATGTTACGTACGAGGTCAGATAACTTTCATTCAGCTGTAAGGCGGTGAACAGCTGGAGATACATGATGTCCACCAAGCTGCCTTGACCGACCAGTATGCGCCGCACGTCGAAATTCGCCATGCAAGCTCTCATGAGCAGTGGGATGATCGAATTTGGGGCTCCTCCCAATAGTTTCTCCCTATAGAAGGTGAGGGGATGAGAGCCTCCTTGGAATTTGTCCAGCGTGGCATTCATATCCGAGTTGGCTTCGATGAACTGGTCAAATTTTCTTTTTACCGAGCCAACTGCGTGCCTGTTGAATCCCCCCACCGGAGACGACCATGGTTGCGGGAAAAGATTCCCAAGGGCTGTGGGAGGAGAAGTATAATAGGACGTTCTTCATGTTCGGGTAATAGAAATCTCCGGCTGCAAGATGCTTATGGCGACCTGTATGACGTCAATGTTAGGGGACTTCTTCCCTTCTTCGACGTTTTTAGTTTCTGGTGCTTCTTCGCGAGCGCCCTCCTTCTTTTTGTATTGTTTGAGGTGCCCATCTCGAATCAGTATTTCGATTGTATCCTTGAGATGAATGTAATCCTCGGTGTTATGCCCATGACTTTTGTGGAACCTATAATATTTACTCTTATCGGTTCCCAGTTTATACGGTGTTTGTCGGGGGAAGCGCACCCCGACCTAATTAAATTCGGAATTGGCACATTCAGATAGAATACACTCCCTTGAGGTAGTTAGAGAGGTGTAGTCGTGGAAACGACCAGGTCCCCCTTTGTAGTCCTTGGAGTTCTGGGACTTGTCTTCCCGTTCCTTTTCTCCTCGACGGGATGTCGAAGGCTCGTCATTCCTCGAGGATTTGGCACTCTCTTTGTGCCTTGATTCCGTGGCGCTGTTAGAGGCTTCCTTCTCCTCATACTAGATGTATGTATGAGCCTTGAGAAGGAGGGAGTCGAGCATGGCCGGTGTCTCAATGCCCACAACTTTAGCAAAGTTGCTGCGGGGACAGAGCCCACGCTCGAGGAGATATTTCTTCATGTTGTAGGTCGTTGAGACCCAGACTGCTTCCTTGTTGAAGCGTCTAATGTATGCCCACAAGGATTCGTCTCTGCTTTGGATGATTGCTTCGAGCGAAGCCTCTGACTTCCAGTGTCAACGAGAGGCGGTGAAGTGTCTTGAAAATATCCTCCCGAGCTGCTTCCAGGAAGTGATGGATTCATCTGGGACACTCTTGTACCAAGACATTGCTCCCTTCCTGAGAGTGGTTGGGAATAATATGCATTTGATGGCCCCTCTGACTCCTCGATAGTCGAGGAGAGCGTCAATGTTATCAATATACTCGTCGGGGTCCGTTGTTCCATCGTAGGTTCCCAATAGAGGTGGTTTCTCCAGGCCGACAGGGAGTGTGGCTTTTGTAATTTCCCTTGATAGCGGGCCATGGGGCTCGTCGTCTTCACTATCCACGGGGGACATAGAAGGGAGTGATAATTTCTACCTTGTTGATCATCGCGGTCTCGTCGGAGGGAGGGACTCATCCGTTTCTATCTTGGTTTAGGCGAAGGTAATTGAGCGCGGTCGATTTGATGGTCGTCTTTCCTCTTCTTGGATAAATAGGAGTCTCGATCTTTCGTAGGAGGTGTGCAGTTGCATTTATTGCAACCAATTCTTGGTGGAAGGCCACGCCTGAGTGGCGATATACTGAGGGAGTTTCATTATCGGGCTCTCCGAGGAGGAGATCTTGACCGCTCGTTCTCCCAGGACCCTATCCTTTGGTTCTGTTGTAGGATGAGAGCGTTGGTCTAATTGATAGCAGCGAGCAACGCTGCAATGGCCGGGTCGGCGCCGAGAGGGATGGGAATTGGTTGCAGGATTTTTGGCAGTTCCTCGGTGGGATTCTTGGGGTGTCCATTCTCCAAGAATTGGTTGTCATTGCGTTGGACGTCAGTTGAATTTGGAGACGCAATATGTCCGTCTCGGAAACCCAGGTTATCCTCGAGGTGAGGATGTTCCTGACTTCCGTCGGTTTTGTGAGCAGGGGAAAGAATAGCCTTTTCAAGCAGATGAAGATCATCATGGTCGAGCATGATTTGTGAAAGGAATCTTGAAAATTTTCTTTGATCTTTGAGTTTCGAGGAAAGAAAGATGGGGAGAGCAGCTTCCCACAGACAACGCCAGTGATCTTACTGGTTGGTCAGAACCTGCAAGGTGGTCGGATGATGATCTATAGTCGAACTGTGACGTCGAGGAGGAAAAAAGGGTTGTACCTGCAAGACACTCTGACGATCAAGTAAGAGTGGGAACAAGGAGATACAAGCAAAGTGTTAAGATATTGGTGGTGAATAATGAATATTCGATACCTGACCCTCACAAGTGTGAGGATTTTGTATAATGCCCCTGGCACATAGCCATTGGTTCCTTTTTTTGCGCCTGGATATGCGGGTTCGTAAAATTAGATAACTGCCAAAACTTGATCAAATCGGGCAGATGTGCCCGTAACTAGCCGTTGGTTCTAAGGAGGAGGCAAGTTACGAGCATCTCTCTGGTCAGTTCCTGCACGACTTGATGTCAGACAGACTGAGAGGTGCTCGTCGATCACCTTAAGTCAGTGCCGACTTGGGAGAGCAAAGGATTAGTATTGCCCAACGAAGAGCGGGGCGGTTCAGATCATGGACGTGTGGACCGTACCGAAAGAAAGAGTTAGACTGAACCCATTCTAACTGTCGGATCAGTCTAAAACACTAATAAACTAATTATTTAATATTCTTTATAGTCATATTTTTTGAGTGATAATAAATATTATATTTTTTAAAATAATTTAAAAAAAATTATTTAATATTGTTTGAGACTGATTCTTCAATTAATCAATTTTAAAAATTTGACTATAATTAAAGGAAACCAGTCCTACAAAATTCTATTATTATTATAATTAAATTATAGAGTATAGTTTTTTTATATTCAAATTTTTATTAGTTAAGGAGTTATTCTTATTAAAGAGTTTGTTATTTATTTTATTTCAATTCTAATAAATAAAAATTATTTATTTAATTTTTAAATTAAATTATTCTATAATTTATTTTACACGGGAAGAAAGACTTGATAATTATTATTTTTAAATGTTCAATCTCATCGGTCACTATTATCACATTAATACTATTTTATTTTAATATATGATAATAGTATCTTCATTTCATTTTCATAATATTCAACTATTAATATCAACATTGTGAAGAAAATATAATTAAATCATGATGAGAGTTGAAGATTTAAAATTATTATTATTATTATTATTATTATTATTATTATTATTATTATTATTATTATTATTATTATTATTATTATTATTATTATTATTATTATTATTATTATGTTTCAATGAATTTAAACAAATAAATATTTTGATATTATTAGATTGCTTATACAACAAGATTTTATTCCAATTATATTTTTAGATTGCTCCTACAAAAGAGTTAAGGATTTGACTTTTATTTTCATTTTTAAACAGAGTTAGTTCTTTCATCCTATTTTAAAAAATATATTATTTTTTCTTCAATAATTAATTTATTCTTCAATAGTATTTATTATTTAATTTCTTCTTCAATAATTAATTTATTTTTGTTTACTTATAAAAACAAAATAATATTTATAAGAAAGATATCTTAAGTGAAAGAAAACTATCACCAATGTCTATATTATTTTCTAGAAAAGACAATAATCGAATGATAATATGAAAATATTAATTGAATGATAATAATAAATAATATCAAAATTTTAATTTATAAAAAAAATTTAGTATTATTTTTACGTTAAAATGTTATTTGTTATACAAAAAAAATTATAATATTTATTTTTGATAAAAAAACATGGAATAATAATCAATTAAGTATGATTTTTTTAATAAATTTATTTAAAACATTATTATAAATTTCATGAAAAAATTATATCTAAAATATATATTTCTGACGGGTCGACACTATTGAATTTGTATATCTTTTATATATATTTCTTAACCATTATTATAATATATTTATTTAATATTTATAACGATATTATACATCATACAAACGCACGGGTAGATAATCAGTTTTATATATGTGTGTGAAGTGTACTAGACCTTATACTTATGTATTTTTTAATATAATTTTTATGTATATTCTGACAACTACTACCATTTAATAAATTAAATTAAAACTTATGTGATAATCGTCGCTAAAATTTTTTTCTCTTAATTCATATATATTTTTATATATATATTTTAATCATAACTATATAATATTTATTTAATATTTTTATATCGATTTTACGCGATTCAACGAATATAAATTAATGATGAATGCAATACAAAAGGTCAAAAAGACAATAACAGCCTTCCAATTTGAAATACAATAAATAAACGAAAGTTTCCATCCGAAAACAAAATTTAAAACAAGTTTCCCTGTCCCCATTTGATTTAAACGCAAGCAAGAAAACAATAGACACACATTTCAATTTTTCAAAACACCCCGCCCGTTAGAACACTCTCTGTTCATCACTATCCAAAATCCCCAAAGCAAAACCCTAGAAATTCCACCTTCAACATGAACCAGTATCACATCTACGAAGCCATTGGTCGTGGCAGATACTCCGTAACTCCACCTACCTCTTCCCCCTTTCATTTCCATCTTCAATTTTCGCACTTCCAACTCGCGATCGATCTTACTCTTTTTCTTTCGTGAATTCGCAGACGGTGTATAAAGGCAGAAAGAAGAAGACCATCGAGTATTTTGCGATTAAAAGCGTTGATAAATCTCAGAAAAACAAGGTTCTTCAAGAAGTGAGTTCTTGTTACTTAATTATTCATAGCATTCATTATGTCATTTTTACACAGTTTTCTACCAGATCTTGAACTCATGAATTGCATTTTTTACTCTTCTGCAGGTTAGGATTCTTCACACTTTGGATCACCAAAATGTGCTCAAGTTTTATTCATGGTGAGAAAATTTAATTCTATTTGAATTGTTTAATATGATAAATAAAAAATATTCCTACTTACTAAAACAAGGAGAGAATTCGAAAACCAGGAATTCTTACTGTTAATTGTGCGGAAATTACTTTGTTTATTTTTTTATTCTTAATTAGTGTTACAACAGTATTTTTCCGACTTAGTTGTTAGGTTTTATATATTTATGCTTTTTTAGGTATGAAACTTCTGCTCACTTATGGTTGGTTTTGGAGTATTGTGTGGGTGGGGATCTACTCTCCATATTACGGCAGGTATTTAGTACTTCACTGCATATGTTTTGGAATGGGAGATAATGCTTGTTGTTACTCTCTTTTTAGTGCTGATTATGAAGATGAATTTCAGGATATTCAGCTTCCTGAAGAATCTGTTAATGAGCTTGCTTGTGACCTCGTTAGAGCTCTGCAGTATGTCAATTTCCCTTATGTTGTATTACTCTTATTTTGCAACACAATGCTCACAGGCAACTAATTTGGATACTCCTTTCTCAGGTATTTACATTCAAATGGAATAATTTATTGTGATCTGAAACCATCAAATATTCTACTAGATGAAAATGGACGTACAAAGGTGTTAATTTTTGTTCACTCTCTTTTGTATCGTTGTTGATTGGATTAATTTAGTTATTTACCCATTTCTTAATATGAGCTGAAGTGTGTACCTATTACTTTGTTGATGCAGCTCTGTGATTTCGGATTGGCCAGAAAGTTAAAAGAGATATCGAAAGTTCCTTCTTCTTCGGTATTTACTAACTTTTGCAATTTCGGACATCCACATTCATATATTGATAGACCAATATACAACTATGGCTGTCATTTTTTCTGCTGAAACCAAATAATATGTTAATACATACTATGTCTCCTTACTTCTTTCTGTAGTTGCCTCAAGCAAAACGTGGAACACCCTCTTACATGGCTCCGGAGCTTTTTGAAGATGGCGGAGTTCATTCTTATGCTTCTGATTTCTGGGCTCTAGGTTGTGTACTATATGAATGTTATTCTGGGAGGCCTCCTTTTGTGGGAAGAGAATTCACTCACCTTGTAAAATCCATCATTTCAGACCCGACTCCACCTCTCCCTGGAAATCCAAGTCGACCTTTTGTCAATTTAATTAATTCTCTGTTGGTCAAAGATCCAGCCGAAAGAATACAGTGGCCCGAGCTTTGTGGTCATGCCTTTTGGAAAACTAAATTCTCTCTAGTGTCTCTTCCTTCTCAACCTGCATTTGATGATATGATAGAGCTTCATGCTAAACCATGCTTATCAGAACGTAATGGAGATAAGTCTTCTCATAACAGAACCCCTCCTAAACAACGTGAAAAAGACATAAAAGGAATGCTAAAAAAGGATGAAAATTCTGGTTTAGGATCAAGAGGCATTGAGACACCAACTAGGGCAACACCAAATAGTCACAGAACTCAGACAAAGGGTTCTGGCCGAACAAATGAAGTCAAGCAGAAAGATCCTTCCAATATTAAAAAAGGTTTGAATCTTTTGAGACTTTCAAGAATAGCAAAATCAAATTTACAAAAAGAAAATGAGAAAGAAAACTATCGTCGCCCTTTGCCCAATGGCTCTGAGAAGGATGCAGATGTTAAAATTGAGAACACTGACATGGAACTTGATTTTAATGAGAATAGTGAAGAGGATACACTTGAAGAAACTGATGGTTCTGAACACACACCTGTGCCCAATGAGAAAATGGAGAATAACTTTCAGAATCAGGGAAAAGCAGAGGACACTGAAAATGTTATACACCAGTTGGACACCTTATCTGTGACTACTCCTGCCTCAAACGATTCAAGGCCATTCGATCACGAGTCAACTCCTGACCGTTCTGACATATCTTCTATTTCTCCAAGTGTAAGCCCTCTAGTGAAAAAAAGGCCAAAAGAAGATTTAGGTTCTGGCCTTGACTCTGATTCTTCAAGATCATCAAGCGACAATTCCCAGGTTATTTGGCATCCATCTGATCTCTCAGTCAGACCTGTGATGCCCAGCAGAAAAGTTGACAAAGGCTCGGAAGTCATCCCTTCACTTCCTTTTGAGGCATTGCAAGCACCTGATTTTGTCAAAATGCCTAAAGAGCAATTAGAGGCTGTACATAACCGAATTATAGCCATCTTGAGCGGGAATACTAGCATTGGAGAAAAACAAAATGTGGTTAGGTACCTCGAGATGTTAAGCAGTAATGCTGATGCAGCCAATATCTTGACCAATGGGCCAATAATGCTCATTCTCATAAAATTGCTACGTCAATCTAAGGCATCAGCTTTACGTGTTCAACTTGCTTCACTGATTGGTCTGTTGATTAGACACTCTACCTTTGTTGATGACAGTTTGGCTAATTCTGGAATTCTAGGTTCACTGACGGATGGCCTTAGGGACAGACAGGAAAAAGTAAGAAGGTTTTCTATGGCTGCTTTGGGTGAGTTGCTATTTTATATATCCACCCAAAGTGCTGACTCTAAAGATAACACTCTGCTTGAATCTCCATCGAAGGACAATAGGACCGCACATGGCTGGCAGGTTAGCTTCTAAGCTTTTTGCATGTAACGTTTATTGTCCATATGCCTATGCCATTTGAAGCTTGAGTTCTGTAGTGCTTGTGTGTGTGTGTGTTTATTTCCACCTATTTTTATTTTCTTTGTGAACTTTCAAAGTTCATATTTTTCTAGAGTTATCTTATTTTCATCTGGCTGCAGGTTCCAAATTCATTAATCTCCCTTGTGTCAGCGATATTGAGAAAAGGTGAGGATGATATAACTCAATTGTATGCATTGAGAACAGTTGAGAATATTTGCAGCCAAGGAGGGGTCTGGGTGGGACGTTTCACCAGTCAAGATGTTATTAATAATCTCTGCTATATCTATAGAGCGGCAGGGAAACAGGAAAGCATGAGGCTTACTGCAGGATCATGTTTAGTACGCTTAGTTCGCTTTAATCCTTCTAGCATTCAGTCTGTTATAGAGAAACTCTCATTCAAGGATCTAGCTTCTGCTCTTGTCAAAGGCAGTCCACGAGAGCAGCAAATTAGCTTAAATCTTCTTAACTCAGCAATGCTTGGAAGTCATATGCTCACAAATGTTGGAAGATACCTTATACAACTTTCAGAGGATAAGAATCTGATCCCAAGTCTTCTGTCCCTTGTTGAGCAGGGTAGTGAAGTTTTAAAAGGAAAGGCACTTGTTTTTGTGGCTCTCCTCTGCAAGCACGGTAGAAGGTGGCTTCCACAGTTCTTTTGCAGCCATAAGTTACTGTCAGTGGTGGATAGGCTGGGAAAAGAGAAGGATGCCTTTGTGCGGCAGTGTTTAGTTGCATTTCTGCATATTGTGGCATCTACCATTCCAGGTTTACTGGATATAATAACAGGGGATATCCAGCAAATGATGGGAGGAAGGCGCCATGGACATATCTCTTCCCTTACCAGCAGATCTGCTCCAAAAGCCAATATTAATTTGTTTCCTGTTGTCCTTCATCTTCTTGAAAGTTCTGCTTTTAAGCATAAAGTGGCGACACTTCCAGTACTACGGCAGTTGGCGAATCTCATTAAACTTGCAGAGGCACCGTTTCAGGTCAGTAACTCAGCCGTTAGATTTTGTTTACTTTTAATCCTATGCTTTCCTGAAATTATGAGTTCTGTCAGAGCTAAGCTGCAAAGTTTCGTTAGATATTAATTGTGTTAAGATATAGTCTATAGATAGTCTACTAATGAAATAAAAGGTGTATTTTAGAATCTAAGGGTTGTCTACTAATGAAATAAAAGGTGTATTTTCGAATCTAAGGGCTGTCTACTAATGAAATAAAAGGTGTATTTTAGAATCTAAGGGTTGACCTCAAATCTCACCAAAAGAGTGTTGATCTCAAAATAAGTATTTGATATAATTAATCAGTGAGATGAACTTACTTCAAGAGTAACTCTTGTTAAGTTAATAGGCTTAATAACTTTTTTGTAAACATTAAAGTTCATCAATCCAACTTCATGTAGATATTTACCCCATCAATTACAACACCTCTCTATTTAAAAAAAATAATAATAGGCCTAAAAGACTAGTGTAATTTTCCCAATCAATAAGGGTGGTGGTGTTTATTTGAAAAATCAGAGCATATTGTCTACTAATGAAATAAAAGGTGTATTTTAGAATCTAAGGGTTGTCTACTAATGAAATAAAAGGTGTATTTTAGAATCTAAGGGTTGACCTCAAATCTCACCATGCTCAGTGAGATGAACTTACTTCAAGAGTAACTCTTGTTAAGTTAATAGGCTTAATAACTTTTTTGTAAACATTAAAGTTCATCAATCCAACTTCCTGTAGATATTTATCCCATCAATTACAACACCTCTCTATTTTCTAAAAATAGTAATAGGCCTAAAAGACTACTGTAATTTTCCCAATCAATACGGGCGGTGGTGTTTATTTGAAAAATCAGAGCATGTTTCTCATTTGAGCATACCTCAAGAGGCAAGTGCACATTATACGTTAGTATTTTAAAAGAAAATAGCTCAGTCAAAACAGAAAATTTTCTAATATCTAATACATTGTCTGCTAAATTTTCCCATATTGTTTTGCAATTCATCTCTCTTAAATAATTGTTTTGACAATTATTTTACCAAAGCTATCATTGATTAGGTCATAGTATTAGTTAGATGGCAGCTGCCAGTTTCAGTTGAACAAGGTATACTTTTAATTGACAATTGATATTTGATATTGCCGTCTTTGTTTATTGTTTGGCTTTCAGGGAAGAGATGACTTTCAAATAACCCTTCTCCGAATTTTAGAGTCTCTCACGGAGGAATCTTCTGTGATCCTTACCAATCCTGACATTTTCATTCGTGAAATCCTCCCTAGTTTAACAGTTCTCTACAAGGGTAACAAGGATGGTGATGCAAGATTTTTGTGCCTTAAAATCTTTTTTGATGTGATGATTATTCTCTTGAGTGAACCAATTGAAGAAGAGCAAAGATTGAACGATCTGAAGTTTGTATCAAATACACATTTTCTTCCTCTCTACCCAACCTTGATCGAAGATGAAGATCCGATTCCTATCTTTGCACAGAAGCTTCTTGTCATGTTATTAGAGTTCAGTTTTATTTCAATTCCAGACATTCTACACCTGAAGACAATATCACAATGTTTTGAGTTCTTGCTTGGTGATCTGTCAAATGCAAATGTGAATAATGTTAAGCTGTGTCTTGCTCTGGCTTCTGCTCCTGAAATGGAGTCAAAGTTACTCTCCCAATTGAAAGTTGTTAGGAGGATTGGTAATTTTCTTGAGTTTGTATGTGCAAAGGGAATGGAAGATTTGCTGGAACCAACTCTTGGGCTGTGTAGGGCCTTTCTAGCACGTTCAGTCAGCTCTACAAAAGGCTTCAGACACACAACAGAACCAACTCTCTTAGGTGACTGTCCTCCTGAAGCGAGTGGACCGGTTGACCCCCAGCAATGCATAAGAGATATAACAGACTTTGGAAACAATGTTGGTGTCTTCCTAGAGTTGAGCGCATCTAGGGAAACCAGTATTGCCGATATAGCTTCTGAATGCGTGATTTTACTGCTCAAGGCCGCTCCTAGAGAAGCCACAACTGGTCTACTAACCAATCTCCCCAAGGTCACCGTGATCCTAGAATCCTGGAGTAAAGGCATCCCTCATTTAACGGTTCAGAGAATGCTTCATGCTTTAGGTTATGCTTGCAAGCAGTACTTATTGCACGCAATGATATTATCAATATCAATACCAGAGATTTCAAGAATTGAAGGAATAGTTTCTGAACTCAAGAGTTCAAGTGTCCCTGCTTTAGCCAAAACTGCTGGATTGGCAGCCTTGGAGTTGCAGCGGCTACCTCGCTGCATTTGAATTTGAATTCGAATAATGATTGGTACCATATTAGGTTATGTTACAATTGTCATGTTCATTTTTGCCAATATGATTGTCCTGTTCTAGTTGGCAGAATTTGTAACTTCTCCACTTTACTTTTTTGCTTACCTTTATTTTTCAGGTATTAGTAAATTTCTGATAAAGGTTAAGCATGTTGGTGAATTCCACTCAGGCTTCACTGTGTACGTCTATTTAAATCATGTGTACTCTGTATCTTCATGAAATGAAAAATTACTTACCTCAGATTCCATTCGGTAATTTGAAAAACAAGAAGTTATGAGCTCAAATGGAAACTTGGAACAATAGCATGTTCCTATTTGATAGGATATACCCATATGCACACATGGCCAGAACAACAAATATTTGTCAGCTATAAGAAATCAATGTCATTCAAATCAAAATGATAAGGGGACACACAGACCCCTTTCTTAAAAGACAAAAATATGTGTTGCAAGACTAAAGTCAGTTAACCCTTTTGTTCAATAATTAACTTTAGGGTAACCCTAATTTGTGCCTTAATGACACATGTTAATAATTCAAAAAAACAAAGCTGTATGGCACCAAATATCACGGGTAGAAAATGATTCTTTCTCACCAAACGTCACATGGAAACCTTTTCCATTCTTTGTCTGTTCCTCAAAGAAAAAAACACAACTTTTCCTTATCATGATCCAATGGATTCAACCCAAGTGGGGCCCCTACATGACCCCACACAAGTCTTAAGGTAGAAGAGGGTTGTGAAAGTGATAGGAGCCTGCAAAGCTTCACAGTGTTTTCCCCAATATAAAGGGTTATTGCCATCATTTTTTTTTCCCACTAAAAGCCTTCACCATTAGAATGACATCATTAAGTTTTTATCTAGTACTTATTATCATCATGGTTTTCATGCCCTCACCTCTCCTTTCATCTTATTCACAATCACAACCTCTTCCTGAACTTCCCACACTCTCCTCAGATTCTTCTCCATCTTCGCTTTTTCCTTCCCAAGCTTTGTCACCTGACATTGCTCCACTTTTGCCTTCTTCTGGTGGTGCTTTACCAACTCCTACAGGCTCTGATATTCCCACTATTCCTTCCAATCCAAGTCCTCCAAACCCAGATGACATCATTGCTCCAGGACCCTTTTCTGCATTAGCACCATATGGATCAATACAAGCTACTTCCAATGCTCATACAAGTGTAGTTTTTGACATAGTCACTACTGTTTTTGCATGTTTAGCAGCATACCTTTCTTTGCAGTAAATGTTTTGTGATGTGTCATATCATATTCCACTTTCTTGTTTGTTAATTTTTCATTCTTATATTATAATGAAATTGCAGTTTCTTTCTCAATTGCATTGTGATTTATGATTTCTACTGTTGATTTCTCATTTGTAATTATTGAGGTTAGTTTTCTTTTGTTTTTCATTTATGTTAAAGTGTTCTTTATCTTTTCTTTCTAATGAGAGGCCCATGATTGAACTTTTTAAAGAGTCTTTTTGCAATTCCAGCATCACTATGCTCATTAAAGCTGAAAGCCACTTTGAGTGCATGTTTAGATCAATGGTTTGTAGTTTCAACAATTTTACGACAAAGACGGTAACACTGATTCTGTCAAACTCGCCGCAATTCTAAAGACGCGCTCAAGTTGAAATGAAAGAGTTACTGCCATGTCTGTCAGATGTGCATGCCATGAACTGAGTTGAGGTGGGGGGCCAGTGCCACATGGTTGAAGCAATGTTGAGGCTGAAGTGCTCGTGATAGACACCTAATCATCAGGAATAATTTCCAATTATCGACCACATGATGCCCAATCAAGTGAGAAATTTCAATAGTGTAATACTAGTAATGTTTATGTAATCCTGTTTTGTCTTGTTTTGCTGTCTGTTTGTCTCATTCTTTGTATATCATAATCACATAATAAAATACCAAATTTAAGTGTATGTTTGGTTTCTCATTTGAAATTGATTCTAGATGCGTAGAATTGATTTTGACATATTTGGTCGCTCTCGAATATAATTGATTAGCTTTTCAAAATTGATTCTACTTTAAACTATATATAGCTTTTGAGTTTAAATGTGATTTTTACACAAAAATTTAAGACATTTTTTCTGCCATATCATTAATTGGTACCAAAGAAAATGAGTAAAACAGAACAAGAAATATCTTTAGTAATGGAACACGTAAATATCTCAAAAAGCAAATACTTATGATTTTTAAGAGCAAATTCCATATAACATGTAAAGAAAGCGATGTAAGTTCTACAAAATTAAGATTAAAACTAGCATTATTGTAATCCTAATATGGTCCAGAAAAGATCTAGGCAGTTGCATGAAGTTTAAATTAACCGATACACCCAAGATCATATAACAAAAAAACACTCCAAAATAGATATGTAAGTCCTCATCTTCCCTAGTTTAAGCCTTGGTCTCGAGAAGTTTGTCAATCATGTCAGCAGCTTCTTGGACAGTGGTGATGCTCTGAGCACTTTCTTCTTCCACGCTAATGCCAAATTCTTCCTCAAGTCCCATCACAATCTCAACCTGCACAATATTTGAAATGTCAGTTTAAGTAATTGAGCATGAACTGTGAAAGTAAAGGTATATAGGTTTCTTCACTATAGCCGTTTTATAATGGAGACAATAATAGTGAAGTAACTAGACTCAATTGACAACCAATGGCCTTTAACCAGACAATAATTTGAAGACAGTAGAGTAGAAATCAGTGTTGTCAAATAGTGGCTATGGCGGCACTATAACGCTATAGTGTACTAGTGAACAAATTGCTAATGTTCTGTGATATGCTATTTAGTACATAGTGTGGTCAAATGGTGGGGCATTATAGCGCTGTAGCGTACTAGTGAACAAATTACTAATGTTTACCGATATGCTATTTAGTACATAGTGTGGTCAAATAACGACTATATATGAGCTATAGCACTTCAGAGTAGAAGAATTTGAATGAATTGCTAGTTTTCTAGATATGCAATTGGCAACATTGGTGGGAACTATATAAAGCATGCCAGCATGCCTGCCGAGCAATAAACAGTGTAGTTTTTTTTTTGTCTGACAGTAATGACCGGTATTTCACCCCTTAAAGGTGAATAAGTGGGATGTTGCGGGTTCCAATCCTGTGCAAACAAATGTCCCTGCACAAGTACCAACTAAGTTGTCTTAACGGGATGCATATCTACCAACTGAGTTACTTACATGTATTTCCTGTTTTATTGCAGTAAGGCATGCAGTGAGGACTTACAAACGTCTGTTTTTATACTAATGTATCATTACTCTCATTGTAAAGAACCTCTTGCTCCAACACACCATGAGAGAAAGAAAAACAAAATAGCAGGAACAACACTAACAACAAAAAAATCACCAACATCAAGACATGGATATGTGAGTCCGTCCCATAATAAGTAGATAAAGGTATTCAATAGATATGTGTAAGTCCGTTCCACAATAAGTAGCTAAAAGTATTCAATGTGGTACTTAAGCCACCTAATCATGTGCTTAAAGACCTAACAATTGGTAGTCTTGAAGGCTGTTGGATCACGGAAAGGACTACCTATAGGCTAGATCAAGGTGCTCCCCTAAATACTGATACTCGAATGAAGCCGTCAAAAAGGAAAGGGCTATCATCGGGTCAGTGCTGGTGTGGATACCAACACTTAAAGAGTGTGTCAATGTTAGGAGTCTGACATGGAATGTGAGACTCCTAACTGCATGCATAATTCAAATATCAAGTAGCTAGAAGATACTATCAACTATAGCAGGTACTTTGAATGGATTTCAAAGTTCACAAGTATCACAAATTTGCAATTTTCCACATCAAGAAGTTATAGATAAATATAATTATACCGTGTCAAGAGAATCAGCTCCAAGAGCAGCAAATTTAGACTCTCCGGTAACAGCTGTACCGTCTGCAAGGGCCAATTGTTTCTTGACAATGTCACACACCTTCTGCACAGTCTCTGGTTTAGCCTGTACAAAATCAAAGTCCTCTGTTGTTATATGATCTTAAATATGACAGATGTTCAGGATCACAAGTTAGTTAGAACATCCTAGTATCAAAAGACACAAAACTTGAAAACAAACATACACTTAAATACACAAAATAATGACAACCTAGACAATCTAAAAGAGAAACAATCATACCGCACATGTAACTTGAAACCGAAGCCCTCTTGGTTGAAAGGTAATGGACGGAAACTTTGCACCCTTAATTGAGAATGAAACTGAATTAGGACCAGAGATCCTGGTACAAGAAACCTGTATTGATTCAACCGAACCATTAAACAAGGTTGAATAAATTGATGTGCGAGAACATTAAGGAAACGAAAACGTCACATACCATAGATTTGTTGGAGAGGAGGGACATGGAGGTTCCGGTAATGGAAGCCATTGGAGATCTGAGATCTGAAGAGGGACGGAGAGTACAAAGTGTTGAAAACGAAATGAAACAAAAATGAGTTGTGAAATAGTGAGGAATGTATTTATAGGAAGAACAATGTAGTACAGTGTTTATTGGTTTGGTTTGGTTTCTTGTTGGGGTTTTGATGTTTATTCAACTTTGTTCGATATTTTCGAGGCCGGCACGTGTGAGAGTCAGTACTGTTGGGTTTAGTTGTCAGATTGGACACTGAAAACTTTATTTTGGAATTAGGTTTTGATTATTTAATGTGTTCAATCTCAAAATAATTCATTAGATTTGTGTTTCTTTCACAAAATTCCAAAAATTATATTTTAGCTTTAAAAATTACAAATTCTAAGTAATAATCAATTTTAAAGATATATTGGTAGTAAGTAATTTTATTTTGATGAAACAAACATATTAAAATAAATTTTATATCTCTAAATTTTACTTATGTTTTATAAAGTCAGTTGTTTTTTAGATTATGTTTGAATCGATGGAATACAATTTAGTGAGATGAAATAAAATAGGCTTAATTGTAACTTTGATATTTCTATTCAATTTTATATATTTTTTTTAAATTTCCGTCCCCTCATTTTAAAAACTATGATTTTAGTCTTCTTTTTTTAAGTTTTAAGTTGTAATTTTAGTCCTCTTTCTAATTCTAGTGATGATGAAAAAGAGATCAAAGTTCAAAATAAAACTTAAAAAATGAACTAAAATTGCAACTCAAAACTTTAAAAAAAGATCAAAATTATGATTTTTAAAATGAGAGAACGGATTTCAAAAGAAAACTTAAAAAAATGGTTAAAATGGTGGTTTTTAAAATAGAGGGACCAAAATCAAGGAAAAAACTAAATAGGAGAACTAAAATTGCAATTAAGCCAATAAAATATAATGGAGTGGAATAAAATACAAATTTCACTCGATTATGTTATTTAAAATATCTTATTTCATCTCATACACCCCAAATTGAATGAACAAAAAATAAGAAACTGGATGAAATATGATGAAATATATTCCATCATGTTCAGCTTCGTTCCATCATCTTTTTACCAATCCAAATAATAGAATATAATATTATTTTATTTTATTCTACTCTGCCCCGTTCCGTTGTAATCCAATAATTCAAACATAGCCTTATTTTTCTCATCTTTAAGTCTTAAAGTTTCATGTCTTTAAATATAAGCTCTTTGTGACTGTTTAAAAAACATTTGTGTAATTTATGGTGTAGATTTATTTAATTTTAAATATATATTTTATTTAATTTATTTTTGAATATAGAAAGTTAAATTTGCAAATTTTAATTGTTTTGGATTTGTCAAACAACCTAATTTGATTGGCGTGCAAATTTGAGGCTCTATTCAATCTCACGCTTACATAGGTAGACAAATAAGTGAAATATCATGAGGCAGTCCTACACTAGACAAGACATCACTCCACCTCAATTGTTAGGCTCATGAAACTCTCCTTACTCACTGGAGACAACTCTAACCATTTTCTTATATAATTCTGAGTCTCCGCCACATTAAGGTACGATACATCACGTACTTGTAAGACTCGCCTATATGACTTCACCCAGTTGAACGTTAAAGTGTTAACTTTGTAGTTAGGAATCAATGTCCTGCAAAAAGTGAAAGGTGTGAGAAGTATGAATGTTATCCTCGTCTGAACTCATGCTTACATTATGAATATAAAGATGTGGAAAGGAATAAAGGCTCACAAAATCCGATGAGCGAGATACAGAAGACAACATGTGTAAAGAGGCAAAGATAGGGACGTAAAATAGAGGGATGTGCAATAGATTTTCATCATACACTCAATTAAACACTTTAAAGGACAAGATTTTGCAT